GCCCTAAGTCACAAAGGCCACATTCTGTATGATTCCATTTGTGAAATATCCAGAATGGATAAGTCAATAGCCAGGAATGTGTCTGTGGCAACGCTGCATGGGAGGTGCCAGCTAGCGTGCAGAGATTTCCTATTTGGGGAACTGCTTTTCCCACTTCACCTCATTCATGAAGATTTTCTAAATACTCCATCCATGACAGCCATTCATCTCTAAACTCCAAACTTAATTTAATGCTTGAATGCATAAAACTGATATCTGCATCATAATTTAGCTCTTCAATACATGATAATTTCACTTTTTTTTTAAATCAGTGGGTTCTTTAGATTTGGATCCCCAGTCCACCTGCGAGCTGCCTAGCAGAGGGACTAAGAAGGCACACTTTACCTCAACTGTCCAGGCTTGAACAACTATATCCTTTATTCAAGCTGAAGCAATAATCTTTATGTCTGAGTCTCCTCACCTCAGTCAGTGGATCGTATATGTAAAATGTACAGGGCAGTGATAGGCACAGAATAAGCAGATGTAACTGCTTGTTTAATTAATGAAAGACAGGCATCATTTTGCTCTGCGCTTCACAATCTGTAGCAACCAATGCAGAAAGACCAATCTTTCCAAGAGTTTGGTGATTTATAGACTGAGTATATCAGATTCTAAAAATCAATCTCCAGTTTATCCTTGATTTTAGCACTCTATGTTCAAGTCCCAACTCCAATGCTGTTCCTTCACTGACCAGAAAGTCACCTTGAGGAAGTTGTACATTACCTCAACATCTCAGATTCTCAATTTGTAAAAAGGCTTAGCTAGTACTAGTGAACTACTCCTAAAATTACTAAGAAAGATGGAATGTGAGGGTGTATGCCAGTATTCAATGTACATCTGGTACATGGTGGATGCACAGAAACTCAAACAACAACTCTCTCATATCTGTTATCTATGTTTTGAGCCGTGACAAGGGAAAATACAACAAAAGAGTCTGTTTTTCATGTTCTCTATGTGTCTCCCTTTTTGTTTTGCTAGCAAAGACTATGTCTTCAGGCCAAAACATTATCTGAAAAAATCCCTTGTTCTAAGCTCCAATCTCCCGTGCACTCAGTCATGGGATATAAATCTGCAGCTCCCTTGACAGACAGTTTACAAATATACCACAATCAAGGGACATTGGTAATATCTGCAGTCTAACATCTAAAACATTCTTCTAAATTAAAAATCAAACATAGTTTTCTTTGTTGGGTATTGACTATTATAGAACATATGTATGCTTCCTGATTTGAAGAAGCAGAATTAATGGTACATTTCACTGATTGTATGGCATTCACTCAAAATGTGTTTTAGCAAAATTTAGTTCTATAGCTGAAAAGAAACCAAACTGGACATAAGTACTTGAAAGTAACCTCTTCCTTAGGTCAAATCCTATGCCTCTCCTCTCCAAATCCTTTTCTTTTATGTTACTTGTATTGGAGAACTCAATGCTTAATAGAACACCTTGATGAAATCCTTCTATAATTATACTTAGCCACAAGCCATAAAATTGTATATTTGGTTATTACTGAAACAGAGCTGAGCAGAAAGTCACAAGACTTTATGTCATTTTACTGACAATGCACAGTTATAAAAAAGTAGAACACAACTTTTTAACAACTGTAAAATGAGATTTATTAAAACAAGTTTTCTTATATAAAGCTATGGTGTGTTGTTTTATTATTATAATCTTAAATATACCGATAACATACTGGTCTTTTCAAAATGTTCACATCCTTTTTAATGTAGGGAATTCACGTACTATGATCTCATCTTGTGAGAAAACTGTGCCTTTAAAAGGTTATTTGACAATGTTAAAAAGCATCTACAGGAGAACTAGAATTCATTTCTCAATATATAACATGGATCGTCTTCTATCCTAAAACACTTTTAAGCAATGATGAGGAATTTTGTGACTACCATGAGGTACCCAAATGCCTTTCTTAACCTCATGTACTATATTACACTGCTAACCCTTTCTCCTGACTTCTTCCTTTCATGATTTCCAGGACAGGGTTCTGTCCTTTTTCTGATCATCTTTCTGATTGTCCCACCATACTCCAGAACTCTCTTGATATGTCATCCATGAAATGTTGTATTCTGTGCTCATCTCGCTAATGTTCTTACTCTAACATGAAAACTATGTGACCTAGCATTTTCCCAAGGCAAAACCACAGGCTAAATGATATAATCCATAGCTATTAGTACTCAACATGAGAAACATCTATTATCCTTCCTTTAATGTCTCAGGAAGTATCCAAACCAAGAAATGGAGAAATATCCACAGCTTTCTAGGTAACAACATAAAGTCAATTTCCTTTGGAAAGCAGTCCCTAACAACTTCATTTGGCCTGTACATTACCATGGAAATCTGTCAGTACCTACTAAGTCAAAAGTGAAAAATTTTGAAGTTTACTCAGCATGTACTTCTTTAGTGAGTGAAGATGAGACAGTTTTGTTATGGAAAGACAATGATTACAAGAAAAATCAGTAAGGCCTGATAGTTCCTCATAAGAAGACATTCAGTGCTACAAGAGTTGTCATAGATCATCTAGTTGAACCACTTTTCTTTGTTTCAGAGTCCTCCATAAATAGCCTGGCCTATCTTAGTTATTTATTGCATGCGGTGGTGTTTATAGTCTTACATTTGAATAGGCTTCATACATTTAGATTTTCTCTTCTGTAAGGGTAATGACAATGCTTATCAGTCCTTTAAAGTTACCACAGTAGATTCCTGCATGAAACAGATAACTAGCAAAAACTTAGCAACTGATTTCCTTACTACAGAAATATATTATTTAAGAAAGTCAGGACATTTATACTCTTTAGTGAATATCAAAGGCTATCAATTTCCAAGGAAACACTTCTACTTCAAGTGGACTAGGTCTTATCTTCCACTTTTATACATCTTATTAAAAAGAAGATGGAGAGTGGAAAGTAAATTATTTCAACTAAACTATGATTTATGGAGTCACACAGTTTCAGATGGAATTTTATTTTCTGCAGTCAGTTGCTAGTGAATGGCTCAACTTTCCAGGTCTGCAGTCACTTTCATGTTTAACTGTTCTAATGAAAATTTAATTTCAAAGCATCTGTCATGCAGCAATCTAAATTTAGAAATCCACAGGATCTGTATTTGTATTATATCTATAAATTATTCCTTCCCCACTGAACTCACTAAAACTTGATTCCCTTTCAATTGGACTAATGTTAAAAAACTTTAATGCTTACAATAAGAGTTTAGCAACATAAATATATTTATTCTGGAGCCTTGCAGAAGTTATAAATGCATAGTCTCCTTGTGATGGAGTTGTTAAAACTTCAATCTAAGATAATAATAGAAAAGATGGTCTCATAAGATTAGCTATGCCACAGTCTAAGTGAAAATTTAAATGAAATTTTATTCTAGCTCAAGGTTTCAGTCATAATCCAAGGGTAGGAAGAAATTTAAGGATTATTATCTTTCAAGTCACTTAATTCCTCACACAACAATGACAGAGGCACATGGCACTTTTTCAAAAGAAAATGCTATTGCTGAAAACAGGATTTTTAAGGCAACAGAAAATACATTTACTCTCATGAAAGTAAAATATTACCTCATTACCTTATAAAATGGAGTGGAAACTAAGTATTGAATGATTCAAAAATCTGCAATGCCTACATTTTTAAATTGTTTAAAAATGAAAAGTTGAGGAAATTGAAACCATAACCATACAATTCTTGATTTAAGAAAGCAGTAAAAAACATCAAACAAAAGAATATACTTATAATATGTTCCCCACATTTTAGAAACCCCACAGAATTAAAGTAATATACGTCATATGCACGTGATTAGACAGAGGTGGGAGTAAGATGTGTGGGGAGCAACTATCCAGTATGTGAGGCCAGGGAACATGCATGCCTTGCAGTGCTATTCTTCTGTAAGGGTAATGACAATAGGGTAATGTACTTGTTACTAAGAGAAAATGTGCTTGCAATCAAATTCCCTTGTTCAGACTCAGCTAATTTCCAGTTGCTGTTGTTCAGAATAAGACAATCTGAAGAGAATTTTTAAGATTGTTCCCTTTCTCCTGTGAAGAATATTAAGTATTTCTGATATCATCCCCGTTATTCTGCTAACAAACTAACGGATAAATCACATTTGATTTACTTGCATTATTTTCTTTTTAGGTCCCAATTTTATGTAGTGAATGTAATGAATGGAGCAGTAATTCTGGAGTAGGTGGTCATTGCGATTGATTTAAGAAACATTTGCCAAGACAAAAACAAAGTATACTGAATACCTAAGCAACCCAAAATAAATCATAGTATATCACATAAAAAGTATTGATAAATCCCATCTCCTGAAAGACACACTTAGGGGAAAAACTTTGATTTAAGAAATTGAAGAACCGGTGAGAGAATCTTTAAGATGATAATCCCAAATTCACATAGTGGTAGAGCCAATTGTAATGGAAGAGATCATATTGTTTTGACAATCTGAATATAAGTCAAGTTCTAAGTAACAACATTTATAAACATTATTGATTAGAAAACAAGAAAAACATTTACTTCACAGGCACAAATGTACTTCCTACATTTGCCAAAAATCCATAATGACTGTATGAATTAGTCCAATTAATGTATTTATTGACGGTATCCCTTGAAAGCCTGATTTCTTTTTCCTGCAGAGACATAATTCCTCCATAGAAGGAACTACAGATACTATGTTAACAAATGGAGTATTTGTTTGGCAAAGTAAGGGAGGGAGAGTGCAGGACAGGATTGCATTTTATAGCTTCCCACCTGATGGTAGAAAGAAGGATGAGAGTAACAGAAAAGCTGGCTAATATTTTACCATAGAGAATATTTCACTCCAAATCCCTGAAACTTGTCACATAAGCCTAGAGCTTTCTTTCCACTGTTCTGGTTATTATGCAAGATGCTTTGTCTAGATCTTTACAGAAGAGTGATGCTTTCAAATAGAAGGACACACTCATGACCACACCACGGGCACCTGGAGGAATATGAGCCATCAATGTAAGACCAAATCTTCCTCCCAGACTGTGGCTACGGCCAATGGCAAGCTTGTCCCTGTACCTTTCTTCATGTCCTTGGACAACATAAAGGTCTGAGTCAGACCTTTATGTGACTGCTTTAAACCAGCTCAGTGTATGTTGCCATATTTTCCCCCATTTCTTCCAAAGAACTCGGAACCATCCAGTCACCATGATGTCGCCCACAGGAAAGCCAGTGGGTGACACTTGTCTGCGTGGGATGTTCTCCAACCCCATGTCAGTAGATTCTGTGTACAGTTACTCATGCTTTACAGGCTCAAACAACCCTTGCTCTGTAGGAACTATCCTGCCACCACGTGAGTTTTCAATCACAGTTACAATGTGAATAACACCTACCATTGTAGCACTTAATTATGTCCACCGTTAAGAATCTCTTCACCACAAGATAAGCAGAGCCAGGTTCAGCTAATGAGCTCCACCGGAGCACCTGCTCCAACACATTCTCTGTGTAGTGAAGCGGTCGCTCTGAAAAAAAAAAAAAATAAATAAATAAACACAGACAAAACCTAAGGTTATTTTTACAATTATGAATTTTTAAAAATTCATTAAAAAAATCTGTATCAGCAATAAGCTTAACTTCTACCTTCTGTTACATGATGGCACCACTGAGACTACAATCAGGAAACCTAGCTCCTAAAGCACCATCCAGCATGATAAAATGATTGTATAAATGCACCTGTGCAAAGCCATTCGTCACTCAGTTGTTGTTTTACAAAACTTAGTGTTATTAATCCTATAACTACAAATATGAAACGACCCTTCTGTATAATACACCTGGGCCTAAATCTACCTCCTTTTTAATTTAGCTAACATTCTGGCTTGCTCATTGATAGTTGCCTGTCTACCTATGCAATAAAAAACTGTAGAAAGGACTGGGAGCCCCTTCTCCTGCTCAGTACTATGTAATAAACATGAATGAGTGCTTTCACCCAACACGATGAGCACATTATAACTTGACCTATACTTACAAGCAACTTAAAGATGATATTCATTCTCATGATCAATTACTGAAAGTTTAAATAAAACAGAGAACATAAAATACTACCAAGTCATTTATGTTACATAGTGGAAATAGCAATCAGAAATGTGTAGCAATAGTATACACTAAATAGGCCAAGCAAGCAAAAAGTTAATGGTATCCTAAAGGTTTATCCTTATTAAAATCTTATTCATGTACATTTCATTTTAGGCAACCATGTTTTTTAAATGTACAAGTTCTTATCAAAATTGGAAGAAAATTTACAAAGTTAAAAGAAAATTTACAAAATTAAAAGAAAAATTTAAAAAGCTTTACAGAAAAGCTTTTTTGCTGATAAAAGTAAGCCAATCAGTTAATAGCATGTTACAACAGAAGCATATGCTAGGGAAAAATAAAATGTAAACTTTTCAGTCTCATACTGAAAAACATAACTGAAAGCAAGAATCTAAGCTAGCCCATGAAGACACTGATGCAACATCAGGGCTTCAAACATGTAGTGAATTATAAGCTTTCATGCCCCCTAAGTATGAACCACACAGTAGCTCCTAAATTTTTCACTTTCAGTTAAAATAGGCATAACCAAGACAAAGAGGGAAGAATTTGTAAGCAGCATCATATTCACTTATGATAATGGTATTTTAATTGGAAATAAAACTACAAATAAAAATGAACAACTATTTCACATCCTCTTCAATAATGGCCTCCCTAACTATAAACACAGCATTCCTGAATTTCTCAGTAATCCCAGGTCCACAGAAGGAAACAGATGTTCTGATTCGAGTGCAAATAATCATATTTCCCTATGTAATAAAATAACATACAGTTTGTATCTGTGCTTATGGGATAGGATAAGTGTACTCACTGTAATGGCAATTACAAATAAAAAGCAACTAGAACATACAGTTTGAGGTGAATCTACCTCTTGCTTACAAATGCATCACCTGCACACAGCACAGTGCTGAGTATATAATAGATGTTCAATAAACACTCAGGGAGTGAAAGAATTTATTAAGCTCTAAGATGCTCTATAAATTAACATCACAGACAAAATATATTCTTTGCAAAATCAGACAAAAATCTGTGTTAGGCTAATCTTCAATACAGATCATAATTGCCTATAATTTGCCAAAGGTATAAGTCAATTACTGATTAACCAAAATTTGGCTGTCTTCTATTAACAGAGGTTATAATTTAAACTCACTGTATTTAAAAGAAAAACTAATATGAATGATAACAACTCTTTTTACATTTGATATTATTTGATTCTTGATTCAACACCTTACAACCCAGGACGCTATTGATTGCATTAACCATGCATTTCTGGAATAACAATATGAACTAGTTATCACTTTTAATTATCTCAAAACTTTTCTTTAGGTGGCATTGTTAACCATCTTTTACATGTAGGGGAAGATCAGAGAGATCAGCTACTTGCCTAACAATAAACACCTGGTTCAAGTGAGAAACCAATCTGAATGTCCAATCTAGCAGACCAAAATTCAAAGTTAGTACACTCATTATTATCTGGGCCAAGGATGAAGGCCTAACCATAAAGACATTCTCACATAATTTGGGTTCCGAAGTATCACCTCACCCAAAATTTCTTGATGACTAAACAAGGTAACACAGGAAAAGTGAGAAAGAATGTCAATTCACATTTTTCCCTTCAGTTTTCCCCCTATACTTTTCTATTCTGAGAAGATGGAGAGGAAATTATAGCAAGACTGTTTCAGAATCCCAGATGTTGGCTTACAGGCTGAATGATATTCTTAACTGGAAAAGAGTGTCAAGATTGAAACAAAAGCTGACTCCTGTGTCATGTCACAAAATAGAACATTTATATTAAAATGGAACACTATTACACAATAACACTGTAGTGATAGTTCTAATGTTTTCACAGTTGTAATAAAACATATCAGAGCAGACATAAAGACAAACATAAATTTGCAAAATATTAGTCAATTATATTTTCATATCAGTATCATAGTATGAAATACTTCAGGGGAATACAAATCCTGAAAACACAAATCAGAGCTGAAAAATAGGATGAGCAACTATTTAAAAGACGGTCACATAACACAATTAAAAGATGGCATTAAAATCCACCTTCAAAGAAGCAAGAAAAAATGACTGACATTGCTGGAATATAAATCCCTTCAAAGAAAGTTTTTATTTATAGTTACATTTATAACCAGCTGCCATGAAAGATTATAGGATATGTAAGTTACCTTTCACTAGTATATTGCTAGAAATAAACCATTTGCATACTGCCTAAAGATAAAAACAGATGAAAATTAGAATAGGCTGTAACTTCCTTTACAACCCATTTGGATCAACAATTCAGGTTGTTAATAGTTTTCAGCCACTTTCCAGAATAAATCTGGTGTCTTTCATTTAGTAGAGAACAAGTCTTTTTCCACCTTCAAGTTCTGGCTGTATGATACAATATGACACAATTATGACTATTGTAATAATTAAATTCTCTGTGCTAAACACAGAGTTGCGCAGGTCTCTCTCTGTCCTGTCCACATAATCAGGGAGCTATAGCACTTCCTGTCAGTTAAAGAAAGGTTGGAAAGAATCCCCAGTAAAAATGAACAGAGCTTCCACATGGTAGTAGCTATGAGGAAGAAATAGGAAACACTATGATGTTGCCACCTGGAAAGAAACTGCGTCACAACCCTGCATTTGAGTGAAAGAGCCCATAAAGATCCACCAGCAGTTCACTGTTCATCGTGTGAAGGACCAAAAGGGGGTGGCTGCGTGGGCAGAAACAGACTGTTTTAAGGCAAAGTATTTTAACATGCATACGTGCTTTAGGAGATCACCTGCTGGTGATGCTGACATTTACAGGCAGGCTTTAGCTTGCCCTGAAGAATGACAGGCAGCAGTGACTCAAACATGGTTAGTACTATGCAAAGAATAAGACCAAGAAAAACTTGTTCTATACCCAGTACAACTTTCCACTGCCCCACCAGACATTCTAGGGGAAAGGGGAAACTAACTTATAAACTTACTGAGTGAGCCTGGAATGTAACTCAACTTTACATATAAATTCCCAAATCATTCTTAAATGGTTTTAAAATGACTTTCTAACTATTTGACTGCCATATAAAGAAAAAAGATTCTTTGGTTGCAAACTTTGCTAAGCAATGTTTCTCATTCACTATATTCTTCATTTTGTACATTTTTTTCACCTCAGTTGTAATCCCCGTGGACTTCCCACCATTTCACTCATGTGTTATCACCATATTCCCATGTGTTCTTCCCACACCGGTTTTGATCCTGTTCCCCTCTCCTCCTCCATGGAATGTCTCTGGTTAATAGTTGTTAGTTGATGTTCATTTTTTACTTTATTACAATTATTATATATACACATACACAATAATTACAATTATATATATACACATATGTGTATGTGTGATTTTCCCCGATCCCTTACGCTCCTGCTATGAGGAAAGGCAGATGGCCAACAGGCATATAATAAGAGGTTCAGCATCACCTGAATCAGGAAAATGCAAATCAAAACCACAATGAGATACCACATCACACCAGTGAGAATGGCACCTATTAAAAAAATTAGCAACAATAAATGTTGGTGAGGGTGTGGAGAAAGGAATTCTCCTTACACTGCTGGTGAGAATGCAAACTGGTTCCAATTTTTGCAAGACTCATGCACTGAAACCAAATCACCAGTGTGACACTATCAAGCGGGCAGGGCCCTTTGGGCTAGCGGACTTGTAGGAAAGACACTGGAGCTCCCTGGACACTTCCACTGGAGAAAACACAGGAAAGGCAGTCTCCTACACTTCAGGAAGGAGTCCTCACCAGACACCGAAGCAACCAAGTAGTAGTATTTAAGCATTCATAAAACATATTTCCCTTTTACTCCTTTTTATATTATAATTAGGTAGGTTTTTTTTTTTAATTGAGTAAAGTAGATTATCTCAGGAAAGTAAAAAGGACATTACAAAATATTACAGGGACATTGAATTGAAAAGGATAGAGGTCTATTACTTTAAAATGTGCAGACACCTGAAATAAAATCCAGCACTTCTGTTTTTCTTATTTATCCAGTTATTTATTTGTATTTTTTTGTTGTTGTTATTGTTACTTAAGAGGATTTGTATTTACATTAGAAAAAGCACCAATGCCTGCTGACATTCTTCTGATCAACTACAATCTTGTGACTGCCTGTGCCTTCACTTTTATCTTTTATATTTAGTTTTCTCTCCCCTGCATGCTAGGAGAAATAAAGCTTTTAACATTTCATAAGGTCAGGTAGAGCAATGTGTACCATTTGCTTCAGTAAGCCAACATAATCACTGGCACCTTTGCGCTTTCCAACTTTGTGCCTCTCACGGCAGTCAAAATCATCTGGTTTTGCTTCTGGCAATTTGTACTCAAAAAGTTAACCAAACATTAAAAGCATGCCAAATTTTAATTCTTAATTCCATCAAATGTATTTTTTCCTGCTGTACCTAGGATGTCCTTTGTTTATATATTTGGACATACACAATCAAAACAACTAGTGTTCTTATATATTCTTATATAAAGAACTAAAAGATATATATATATATATATAATATATTATTATATATTATAAGAACACCTAGTGTTCTTATATATTCTTCAAGATCACTTTAATTAGGGAGAAAGAGCCAAAAAAGCAAAACAAAAATATGCCTTAGTTATGATGCACTGCCACATGCAAAATGTTATTTTCAGGTTAAGGATCCCTACGTTTGCCAGGAAGTTTAATATCAGTGCTTCCAGGTATGTGCGATCTGACTTCTTATGTATGATTCTGCCTTTCCTGATCCACTCTGCTGCTCTTCTCAATGAGGACCCGTACACAGAGGTACAGCACTGCAGCACTGTGACCCAGGCCATGCTCCGACTCATCCCTTGACAAAGTGTGGTAGGGAGACTGTCTATCCCCACAGAATTCACTATTCTGCTCTGGAGATCCTCAAACACACACATACATGGAAGTATGTAGAGCTGTCAGCTTCTAAGATGTCCTGATGTTTCCTAGTGATATTTGTAGGGAATGTTCCATATCAGTACACTATACTAGATTAGTGTGAAATATAAATATCTAGAAGCAGGAAAAAAAAAAGGTATAAAGAACTAAAAGATAAAAAAAAAACACTTATAATTTAGGAAGACAATTCTGATAGCAATGCTGGCAGTAATATTTTATCTACAAATATGAAAAGGCTGGTAACTTTAGTTCCTTTTATTAAAATTAAACAACAAAAAATAATGCACCACTGTGTACAATGTAATAATGCCAAAGTAGTATTTCACTTATTCAACAGACTTTGATAGTATGGCAACTATGTACCAGGCATCGTGAGAGACTAGAGACAGAAAAGGAGACCCTCCTTCATCTTTCCAAGGAAACCTCACCAAAAGTGAGGAATATGAATTCGTGTGGTGTCACTAATAAAGAAGATAAGAAAAGCCCAATGTGACACCAAGCCTGTGTCTTAGCATAGGTAAACAGTTAGGCCAATGAAGGGAAGGAAAGGGGTGTTTGGGAAACATCAATTCACTCATTAGTAAAGCACAAAGAATACTAGAGACTGTCTCAAAGAATGTGTGAAAATGTTTAAAAGGCAATGGCAATTGAAGCAGAGGAAATTCACTATTTAGAGGACACACATTAGAAGAATTGACAAATGGGATAAAATAACCAGGGGACTAGGAAGAAAATCCAGGCAGCAACAAAAACAGAGTAAGGACTTTCAAATTCTGCTAGGCTTAAAACAATATTATAGTGACATACTGCATTACTTGTTAAATCAACATTTTTTTGCTTTTGTTAAACAAGGAGCGTACAGGGTAGGTGACTGGGTGGTGACATTTAGAATACTGTTGCAAATAAAATTGTTTGCCATTACAAATAAAAGCTTTATTTCCTAAAAAAGTATCATAGATGCCTAATGCTTTACAGAATATCTTTATGGTCAATAAAATAATCTCATTATATAGGTAAGTTAAACCATAGGAAGGCAGTAAAACACATCAACACATGCACTGAGATAGAAGGGAATTCATAATGAAATACATAAAATGTTAGCAGCACTTTGTCACAAAAGTAGTATTTCCTCATCCTATAGGGAATTGAAAAACCATGGCATTAAACTCACCTAGCTCTTCATTTTCAATAACTTCAAATGTGGCCCAGATATCACCTTTAGAAGGAACAATATTTTTTATTGCTAATATATCATTAGTTAATTCTTCTGCTTCCATCACAGGCGATATCTGTAAGAGAGGCAAAATGTCTTCAGAAAAATTTCAGACACAGAACTTGCCACAATATTCCCCTCCCCGATTCACTATCTTATGATGCGTTCTTAGAAAATTTAATTAGCTTCTCTAGCACTTTGAGGGAAAAAAAAAGTTTAGATTTACCCCACAAACTGTAGTACAGTCTATTGTGAGTGCAAAAATAGACATAATCAAGACTATGTAATTTTCGCTCACATAGTAAGCAATGAGATCATTCAGGAGCAAACTTCATACCTAGTCACGCACAGAATCACCTTTGGTAGTCAGCAAATCCAATAGTCTTCTGGGAGTGAAAGTGTTTACTTATCAGTTCAATGATCAAGAGTTCAAAGTGGCTTGTTTATTCAGCATGAGTCCTAAACCATCCCCAGTCGACTGCTATCTGCTATGCCAGAGAGCCCCAGGATTGTACTGGTGTGTGATGTGCCCACCGGCCAAGTGGCAGACATCAAAGCATGATGGGGCCAGGATTTCAGGGCACAGGGCAGAGTGTACAGACCCCTCCTGGGGGTCAGGTCTACAAGGACCCAAAGCCTCTGGTCACTGCATAAGTACACAGCCTTCTGCAAGGGCTATGGGGATTTTTGATTTGTTGCTTCTTTTTGCATTTGCTACTCTTAAATATCATCAAACAAGATGTATTATTTTTCAATTAGAATAAATTTATAATGTTATGTAGATGATGTTTTAACATTTAAATGTTACAAATACAACCTCATTTGATAGTTTCACTAAATCTGGTTGCCAATTAAATTTTTCTTAGAAAGAGAACATGCTTATTCCAATGCTTCCTGTCCACTGCTGATCACAAACACATCACGTATCTATATTATAAAATAGCTTTCTTTACAGGAACTCACACAGTCTATCTTTTGTACTTTGTGAAATTTAGTGGGTTTTTTTCTGGAATATACGAGTAACACAGTCAAGTTCAGTATGTTTTTACTGAGAAAAGATCCAGGACTTAAAATCCCAGACAGAACAGCAGCATCTGGGAAAAGCAGAGAACTTCTAGCAGTAGAAATATTAGTAGGTGAATAATCTCAAGGATGAGTTCACCTGAATGAATTTAACATTCTTTGAAGAGTATGAACCTTTGTTAATATAATTACTGAGAAACCAAACGTGTGAAAGACTGAGCAGGAAGTGCTCCAGGTTGAAGCAAGACCAGAAGCTTCGAGCTCTTCTCCTTTTCTGGGGGTGACTAAAGGACCCTCTTCAGTCCCAGAGCTCTAAAGCCCCTTGGGAAATTACTGCTGTAAGCCCTAAGGAATGTACAGTAAGTCTGATTAACATCAGGTTGGACATATGATAACTTAGGTTTGCGCTCTTGTTTAAGCACTCTTAATATCTGTGCAAACTTGAGCATCACCTGCCATTTCTACCTCTTTGGGATGCAGTGATATTGTCAGCAGAGATCAATATGGCCAAAGGGTTTTGCAATGTTTAAAGCATTAAACAAATGTTGGGAGATTATATTAGTCTTGTTTGTTATGTTTTAAAGAGAAGCTAGAGTCATTGTAGGTGAAACTGGAGAGTCTTATTGAAATACACAAAAATAATGTAAGTCTTGTGCTCAATTGTAACAACTTCTGTTATGGTTTCCTTATTAAAATAGGATTAAAATGTGCTACTTAAAGTGTTTATGTGCAGGTGGTGTTAAGTCATATGCTATGAATACTTCTGCTAGCATTAATGATCTACTCATACTGATTAATCTGCATTCCCGTCATGTCCCCTGTGATCACACCTCACCCGCTCACTGTAAGACACATGAAGTGTGAAGGCAAGTGAAAGACAAGGAAAAGCCTATGGTGGTGGCATTTGGTAGTCTGCCAATACCATGATCTAAAAGTGGTGACCAGAGCCACAGAATCTTAATACACAATCACTAAAATATGAAAAATAACAATGATAGTATATTTTACATAACTAAAGGCCAAAAATATCCAAAATTTAGACTGTTTAATCTTATACTTTAAAAAGATAAGGCGTGAAAGATGAATTTCTACTTTTATATGAAAGAATGCACAGTCCTCTAACAGTGATGGCAGACTAAGTAGGAATCAAAATATCAGTTATTCTCCCAAAGGCAGGTAAGTGCTACATATGGTGGAAGAAGAAGGCTCTTTTGATTTAATACAACTGACTAATAAAGAAAAGCATTATCTAGTGTTCAAGTAAATTGGAAGGTTGGAAACTGAAGTCTGAATATATTTTTGAAGATTTAAAATAATGGTGCTGATAGTACTGATTATTCATAAACATTTATGTGATAAACAACTTACTAAGTGTTTATTATGCAGTTTGCAGATAAGATAAAGACTTTAATTTTTCTATCTTTTATAGATGAGAAGATTGAAGCCTAGACAGAGTAAATTAACTTGCCCAATGTTAAGCCAGAAAGATTAGTTTATGAGGTAGGGGTACTTTCTTGAAAAGACATACTGAAAATCCTAAGCATAATCTGCAGCATATGCGATATTTCCTTCCCAAATGAAACATGGAATTCCCAGATGATCTTGGTATGAGAAGTCAATCCTTTCAACATTCATGGTTTGAAGTAGATATGTAAAATAAGGTATAAGAAAAGAAAAAATTCAAGCTATAGAGACAAAGACAAATGCTAACACTTGCAGTTTCCAACAGTACTCTCTACATCTGCTGTTCAGACTCACCCGAATTATAATACTACAGTCAGGTTCTTTCCTTTCCACATAAACTTCAATCAGTAAATCTCCAGCCTGGGAAACCTGAGGGCAATTGTGAAGACAGAAAATTTAACTGTTGTGCAGGAACACAGACAGACCATTTGAGACAGTGAGTAAGAGGATTCTTACAGTATTTCTAAGGATGCTTAAAAATGAAAGGCGACCTATCTCCCTATGAACAGCATGATGAAGTTCATTTTCCAGATATGGTTAAGGACAAGGACTCTATAAAACTAATAAAATCAGCAAAAATAATCAAAGTTTTTCTTAGTCAATAGTTTTGTGTTCTCAAATACACTTACATGCTTAGTGAAACAACAGATCTGGCTACCACGGAAATATGCCAAATGAAACAAAAGAATCTGTAAGCCCCATCACCATGTGTGCGAACAGGATAAACAAGAAATGAGAAAAGTTAACTGTATGCAGCTCTATCCTAAGTTATTATGTGGGCATGCTAATAATAATAAACAGGAAATAGATGCTGCTAAATTTTCAAAGAGATGTTATATCCAAGAACTGAAAATTAAGGATAAATAAGTAAAAAACTATACTAAACCTAATAATAAAATATATAAGAAAAAAAGTAAAGTCATAGAATAAGGTGAATGATAAAGATATGCTTTTATTTTAATTATATATACTAGAGCATTAAGTGCTTATTTGGGGAAACATACTAAATGAAAAAGAGAAGCTAGAAAATAAAAACAAGATACTACTACACATACTCACATGGAAAAGATTAACAAAGAATATTTATAAAATTAGGAAAAGTACTTTTGAGTTTTTTTCCCCCCTGAAATTATGTAACTTAGAATATCTAGCATCCTTTTATTTAACTGATCATAATGGGGAAACTAGTCGTATTTATTTTAACTAATCTGAAGTTCATCAAAATAAAGTCTGATGAACAAATCTGTGGAGAGAACATTAAAAATGTACTTTAAAGAAAACACTCTTAGTTATTCCAACACTATGGATTGATAAGTTTGTTCTCAACTTTTCCTTTTAAGTTTCGATGCTATACAAAAATTCCAGGAAAGAAAGATGTAGTTGACATTTTTACTTTTCACTATATTTGCATAAGCTCTCCAGTAAAGACACATTTTGAAAATTAAAAAAAAAAAAAAGCAAACACAAAGAACTCATAGAGTGAAGCCAAAAAACCACGTAGCTAAGAAATTCAAACAGGGATATGACAAGAGACACTGTCAAAAAGAAAAAAAAAAAAAATCCAGAGGAGTTATTTGAAAAAAACTGCAGAAAAAGGAACAGACTTTTTAAAACTCTTCTAATTTTCTTTCCTACTGTTTCATAGACAATTCTTAGTTTTACTTACATTTAATTAGAAAGCATTCACAACACATTTCTTTATTATAAGAGATTAAAAAGCTGAAATTCATATTTCATCTAATGATAATATAGATAATGCTATAACAAAAATTATTCCTTGGGCTCTCACAGTCCTTTATTTCATAACTGTAACTCATCCCAAAAAAAGCAAGGATATAAGAGAATTGATAATGAGCCATATTTTTAGAGTTACCGCTCACTTCTCTGGTGGCTGCTTTCATTACTTTTGGGTCAAAATGGAGTAAAAATCTTCACAAGTAATTAACCCTATAACATTAGTACATGGGGATTCGGGCAGCTGGCCAGGAGCCTTTCCTCACCTCGTTCATATGAAACGATAGTCCTGGAGACTGTTCTCAATAGTAATGGATATTTCAGGAATGACATGAACTTAGAGCTTGACTATTAACAACTGGCTTCAATCTTTGAGTGTGTGTTTTTTTAATATATATATGTATGATTTTTTAATCCAATATCATTATATTACATCCTTGTTAACAATATAGGTTTTCCCCTATTTGCCTTTGTTCCTTGAATCCACTACAATTTCCTAGTTATTAGAAAAGGAATAAATATCCACTTTAAGAAAATTTAAAGAATATTCATCAAATAAGGGGAAAATAACCTGAAAGAGTGTAGTGAAACATGAGCACACAAGTACAATATCACATGACTGAGGAAAACACTGAAGATCTAGAAGAGCCCGCTTGCGACATAAATCAGCATGTTACAATGTCACATCGGAAACATTCCCACTAAGCAGTCACCCAAGAGCATGCAGAGCAGAAGCATGTAAAAGCACGTATTTTCAAAATCACAATGGAAAGAATCACTAGGAAGTCTGCATTTTTAATTTATTCTAGAATTTCTTTGGCTTTAAATGCTTCCCTTGAAATCCACTGACATTTTCAACTGTGCTTTTACAAATGAAAATTTCATAAATTGATTTTGTAAGATTAAAATGGATTCCTTCTGGTATTTTGAAATTTTCATATGAATATACTTGGCATTTTGCTGATGCCTCATGCAGAATTGCACGACCATTTTATCTAGGTTCTTTCCCCCCATTCTTTCAAGTTTGCTTCACACAGGAACTTGCAAAATAAATGTACATGTCTTTACTTACAATGGAAGTCTTTTTGCTTTTTGTTTGTTTTGTTTTGATTTGTTTTTAATTCCTTGGAGATCTAACTATTACTACTCACTTGGGTGTCTTTCCACTTGGTAATAAAGCTATTTTCTATGTCCATTTGTTTGACTTGATCTTCTTTAACCTGTTCAAAATACAATTTGGGACATTCTAATAAAATACCAAGAGTGATGGTACTCATCCTCATATAACTTCAGGAATTTAAAGACCAACAAGTTAAATTAAATGTTAATGGCCATGTTAATCAGCACAGGCCCAAGAAAGTAGTGTAGAAACAAAGCCAATCAGGTACAGCCTCCTCAAGTTCGGAACATTCCATGATGATTCCCCAGGGGGCTGCAGATTCTACTAATGGCAGCCCTCCTGCTAAGGCAATTTAATAAGCAAAGGGGCCGATGATTGGTTTGTTAAGTGTTTCTAAGTTGAAAGATAAGACTTGTTTCTCAAGCTGATATGTTCATTAAATACTTATGAAATATCTACCACTTAGAGTTGGACTTACTAAAGTATGTATGAATATAATTATTAATGTAGCAATACAAACATAAAATAAAGAGAGCAGGTAAAGCCACACATTATTTTTTGTCTAATTCTTTCACTTTTCAGCACTCAAATTGTAGCAAAGAAGCTGATGGTGATCAAAAACAGTAGACACATAGAAGGAAATAAAAGGAGATCAAAGAGCAAAGAAACTCCAACAACTCAGGAGTCCATTCCATTCTTACATAAATTAAAATAGAACTGGGTAATTTTATTCTATTAAAATCTTTTTTGCCTTTGCAAGGACTCTTGTAATCAGTGATTATAAGAATGAAGGAACTACACACTGACCTATTTGATTTCATCTGCTATATTCAAGTCAAGTAAAAGATTAGTATTTTATCTCACGCCATTTCATGAAAGGCTCAATCAAAGTTTAAATGGAAAAACTGAGCCAGAAGTAGCTAACTGACAGGTGCTGAGCCTCTGACCCAGATCCTCTTTACTCCTTCCATATTCAAATCCTGGGCTTATTTTCCTCTATTTTTATTGCTTTGAAGTAAGAAATAATTCCTTACAGTTTTCTATGACACATGAATGTATTAACTTCTATAATTGCAATTTCAAAAGTCAAATAATTACAACATAGATAACTTAGTAAAAACCACACATTTCACTCTTCCCCCCCCACGCCGCCCCCCCCCCCCCCAGTTTGGGGCACAATTAAAAGGAAACACTAAATTACAGAATTTGATAGGCTGGTGTCCTATTATCAAATTTGTGAAAAAACATAGTATCACACCTCTAAGTAGACATATTTAATGCATACACATAATGAAGAGAAGAAACATAAAAACACTATAAGTAGAAATATTCTGTCCAACAGACACCAGATGGTAGAAAAAAAGCTTTAAAAGCAGTCAAGCTTAGATGAATGCCTATAGCTTAAAAAGCTAGTTGAATCTAAAAAATTCAAGATCATGTAACTATTATTTTCAAATATGCATGAAGACAAATAAGAACATGCTAAAATATATATTTATGTTTTCAAATAGTGACATTATAACTATTTTAGCATGGGCAGAATATAAAATATTTACCTCAAATATTTCAACGTAATTATTAATTAAGTCCTCAATTACATTCACTTCTTCGCTGGTTTGCCCCTTGGTTTGAAACAAACAGGATGAGAAGACCAAGGCCAAGTTATGGGCATCCATGTGATTGATTTCTGCGCACTTCTGAACCCTGTTGGAGTAGAGCGTAGCTCATTACAAGACACTTCTATTTTGATACTTCCAAGAACTGGAAGTCACAATACTTTTTTAACATACATCTCTTTTCATTAAAGGTCTCTGATAGTAAGGGTCCAATGGTCATTTAAGGAATCTGACTTTTTAAACATCCTCCTTGGTGTGCCACACACCTGAAGAGTTGTTCCTGTACCTCTGATGCATTAATAACGATGTTACCTATTAAAAAGTATGTTTCCTCGCTGACCAACAGTCTGACACCAAAATATTAGGGCCGAATTAGATACCAACTAATAACAAAGTAGTTTACAATGAGTGCACCAAGAGGAAAAAACTATACTCACAGATGCTTGCTATAATTCAGGGGTATGTAGTTCCTTCTGTTTTTCAGTATCCTTGTTAAATGAGCTTTAAAATTCTTAGTTATGCACTGAATTTACTTTAGGATGCCTTTAGTGACTATACCTAGAATATTTAAGAAACTTTCTAGTGCTGTTTATCTGAATGTGTCCTAACTACAGAAAGAACTGGTAAAATGATGGTTTAATGAGAATTTCGTCTTGAAGCAGTTCAAGAGATGGTGAAATATACATTGCTCCATGGGGAAGGTTAGCAGAAGGCCTTTCATTTAAGAAATAATGATTTACTGAGAGCCTTCTTTGAAATATCTAGAAAAGTTCATGAATCCGCCCACCTGTAAAGGTGTTCAATTATAGCCGCCAACGTTGCTCGGTTGACCCCTGGAAGAGTACGTATAAATGCTCCATACTTTTTAATTCTTCCCTTGTCATCTTGGGTATCTAATGGTAATAAAAAAAAAGGAAAGAAATTCTTAATACTAATCAAAATTGTATTTCATTAACTGAAGCAAGCAAGTTTCCATGGAAAAACAGTCAAACTACCATAATCCTAAAAGAGTATTTACATATTATTCACATATGTCAGTATTTCATAGCAAAATGTAACAATTCTTAAATTTATATTTTTTTAAAAAAGCATTAAAAAACCCCAGAATTTTATTTTACCTTCTACTTCATTGACTACTGAACTTCCCCTACTAGAGAAAAATACAATTCAAATAGAAGTATTCATTGAAGAAATAAAGTCAAAGTATCTTGAACTCTGGCTATGAAAACATTTCACTACTTGGTAAGGTTTCACTGTATTTAATAGAGACATTTTGATTTTTTTTTTCCCTTGTAAAAATCTCTCCCGAACTATGAATCTTCCCAGAACTAAGAAATGTTCACCTTCCTGAAGATTCATACAAAGGACATTTACCATTCTTAGTACTTTCAACTTTCTGGAAAAGCTGAGGGAACTATGGAAGAAATCACTTTCAGACCTTAATAACCCTGAAAGGCTAGAAAGGGGACCTCTGTCTTTGACATGGACAGTATGTGGTTAGTCACAGAGAGAAGACCGAGAAGGAAGTACCCTTCACTTTCTAATCCCAACCAGTCAGTCCCCAGAGTTCTAGACTACAAAATATGAGCATTGGTGGGTTTGTCTCACCGACTAGCACACAAGGAAAATAAAAGATCATTCTTTGGATAACTGCTGATATAGTTACCAGAAGGGCTACAGTTACATATACCCTCTCAGTTCTCAAAGACCTCTGGAAAGAAGACTTGTTCATTTTGCTTAGTTCTGCCTATCTTATTCACAGAAAACCATCAGCGCCATAATGAGTCTTTAAAAGTGCAGTCACATCTAAAAGACATTATGACCCTTAAAGGAGGATACTGAGGTGGATTTTTGAATGGCCACAGATTCAAAATTGAATCTTTGTGTTGTGTCTTGTACTTCTATTTAACAGAGTCCTACAGTTTTCTTTGTACAGGGGCTTCACCTTGTTAGGTTTACTCCTGGGTATTTAACTTTCTAAGATGTAGTTCTTTTGTGCTGATTTAGCTTGCATATGAGTTCTAAAAATTGAACATGGCAATACGGACTTAAATCCACTAAATATGAGAAAACACACTCATATTACATTGAGAAACTACCAGGATGTAACTAAAGAATTATCTATCATCACTGCTATAATAATTAATCCTATGCCACCTAACTAAAAATGTAGGGTAACTTAATCAATGGAATTAAACATCACTACATTTATAAAGATGTCATACTGGCATATTCTCACAAACCTTTAAAAAATTAAATAATATTTACAAAATAAAACTTAGACAAAACCTACACAAGGCAGATTGTGAGTAATGTTTCCTTTAAGTAGTTTCCTTATGTTGATTCCAATAGAAAATTAAATGAATTCAGAATTCAGACAACTTACTATGATTCTCAGAAGAACAGATCATATATCATAAATAGGTGCTATGCCATTATAGAGCATTTTTGCCTCAGGTGGAACCAAAGGAGCTTCCTTTCCAGGTCACCCAGAGTGCTATTGTTTATCTTTGTCAGATCCAACAGAAACACTTCTGACAGGTCAGGGTGAGCTACAGAAAATCTACAGGCAAAGGACTTTACGGCTGTTTGACCCAGTATTCAAAGTCACCTCCAAGAAAATTCTCAAAGAATTCACAGCCCAGTAACCAGTGAACATATTCCTCTTATCAATGCCACCTTGTCTCACTGTGATGACAAAAGTCAAGATGAGCTGTCATTGAGTTTGGCCAAAAAAAAGTGAGAGGTTTCACACAAAGACAAACTCTAAGTCTGTATAAAATAGATATACATGGGCGCTTGAATAATACTGTTTAAGTAGTCTCCTATGTTGATGTCAAAAAACAACCCCCACTGACTTTAAAGAAATTAGTTTGAGGACCTCCTTTCTTTGTGAATGCCTCATTTCATTGAACTTTGCAGTCTCCAAGAACTTGATCATGGAGTGGTGACCATTTACTGTATGTTAAATAGGACTTAGAGTACTATAATTCCATAGTTACAAATTCTAATGAAAATGTCTTTATGTCTTTTAAAAATGAGATTCACAAGAAAATTAGGCATAAAAAGATGCATTATCTAATTCCATATTTTATATACCAGAAAGTAAATAATACATTTCTGGAATTAGAGCTAAGTCTAGTCATTTGGGAAATACCAAAAGACTTTTGAATTAAATAGTTAAAATATGAAAGATATATTTTAAAAACAATACTACTTTCTTGGGATAGTTTTTTAAACTGTTGATTTTTTTTTTTAAGATTTATTTATTTGTGCATACAGAACTGGGGTAGAGGCCAGAGGCGGCGAGAGGCTTCACCAGAGACAGAGTGGGGAGCAGAACAGGCAGATCGATGAAGTACACTGCTGAGGGGAGCAGCAGGTTGTTCGGGGGGGTTCTGCCACGCCATGTGGTCACCTCCGGGGCAGGCGGGAATCGAACTCATGCGGAAGTGGCTTTAGCTTCTTAGTGCAGTGCTTTAACCCGCTGAGCCACCAGGGAAGGCCCTAAACTGTTGATTTTTTACAACATCACTTCAAAATTAATCCTACAAATGTCATATTTATTATAAACAAATAATGTCCATGAAAACTACCAACAGTGTAATAATGTACATTCAAATTCAAAGGTAATTTTCAAAAAAGATCTGGAAACCGTTGGAACATACAAGAAATATACTAGTAAATTATGATATAATTCAAATATAAATCTGAAAAAAATCACTTTGAAAATATTACATATAGGGAATGCTGTCGTTTATTAATATCACATGTATATTTCAACTACAGGGCAGAGACATAAACAAGTGTAGAGATAGACTACAACATAATCTATAAACTGAAAATAGTGATAAACATGAGATTAAAGGCAAAGTTTATATTGAAAAGTACTGACTTAAGTTTCTATAAGAGGCACTGTTCTGAATTAATAGATATAAATGTATGCTTAGTGAAAACAAATAACCAGTAAGTGACTTAATAAACTAATTGTCTAAGCTAGGTTCTTTCTTAAACAGGTTCTCTTACAGAGTAGCAAAGCTTTGTTAATTCATTAGATAATCTAGGGGAAATGAAGAAAGAGTGGAATGGGGAGTATAATAATGTAACTCTAAAAAGAATAAATGGTACCAGAAAGACAAAAGAGGCATGGAAAGCTTATAAAACTAATCTTGCATTAAAGCTTTCATTACCATCTTATTGAGGAACTAACAGCATACATGGGTTTGATTATAACACCAACTTGAAGCAAAGAAAGCACTAATAAAACTGAAACTAAGTGCATAAAACAATTTAGAGCCTCTCTGGTGGCCTAGCGATTAAGTCTCAGTGCTACAATCATTAGGGTCTGAACTAGAGCCCGAGTTCAATCCCCTACCAGGCAGCTGACCCATATGGAGCAGCAGACCTCTCCTGCCCAGCCCACTGCTCCACTCAGCTGTGTATTTTAGTCAGCCTGTCTGTTCTGCTCCCAACTAGGTCTCTGGTGAATCCTCTCACCACCACCTCTACCTTTGGCCTATACCCCAGTTCTTCTACACAAAAATAAAAAGTATATATTAAAAAACACAGTACTGAGCAATGAGTACTACAAATCTATTTTAAAGTAGATATAAAAAACCATTAAATATTTGCACAATTTCTTTTCTGAGCCATTATGAACAATGTTTCTCCCCATTAAAATAACTGAATATAAAAATTTTCTTTAAATCTAGGTATCATATTAGAAGGCAACATTCACAGCATGCTCTCTATCACCTGTATTACCTAAAGCGGAGATCCAGTACGGGTAGAGCTCCTTAGTAAGAAGGGCATCATCAATGTCAGACAGAAAACTTTTCAACACACCAGTCACATCTTCAAGCTGATGTTTGCCAGCCCGCAACTTAAAGCTTCTTGCATCCTTTTTGAAACTCTCCAAGAGTTCACTTATGTGTAAAGGATCACCATTCTTTTGATAAATATATTTGCAGCCTAAACCTTTAAAAAAAATGTTATATGAACAAAGTCTGAAACCAAAATTCACTTCAAGTATTAAAAACAGAACAAATCTTTGTGTTGCAATGATGAGCAGTAAGAAATAATTATCCAAGAACTGACAAGAACATGCTTTTGAGGGAGTTTTTTCATCTGATTTTGGTTTGTAAGATTTCAACTTTGTTGAAAAAAAAGTATTCCATCCTTAACTTGCATCAAGACCCTAGTCCATCTTCCTCCTGGTTTTTCATAGAATTTTTTTTTTAATGCTTTATTCCCTCCAGTGTCCTATCTTCACTTTGTCTCCCGAAACACAAACATGCCTCCAGATTCGTTAGTGAAAGTAAGCCTCTCTGGAAGAAATTTGCACAATCCTTTTGCCCTCAAAGTTATGCGCTACTTTCTGTATTATCCCACCTTCTTCCTGATTCATCAGCTGCATCACATGAAGGAAGATGTAGCAGGGATAATAGGAAGAGCCAATGATGGTGAAGGTGAAGCGACACTAAAATCCTCCATTATCCTCTTCCTATCGTCAGTCTTCCTACTGCCTCACACAAACTAATATCTGCCCAATTTTAACTTAATTGGGTCCATCTGACAGCATTTGTCACTCCGAATTAATCCATGTTACATTAAAAACTCACAACTGTCATGACATTGTAGTTATACTTCCCCTTCCTCTATAGTTAATTTTCAGTCTTCTATTTCATCAGCTTATCAAGTGTTTGTTGTTGCTACTAGAAATCCACCCTTAATTCACGTCTCTTCTGTAACTCTCCACAAAATTCTCTAGGTAAACTCAACCAACTTCATTGTTTCAACCAAATCATACACATTTTCAGCCAGATTTCAAACACACTCACATATACTTCACTGTAAATACGCTACATATACACATGTAAAACACACACAAACACCCATCCACATATAAGGACAATTAACAATAACCTGAGAGGGATTAAATCTCCTGCCCATTCACCACCTCCCTTCTAGTCCCAACATCTTCATTTTGTTCCCCTAGTTCAATATATGGAGTTGCCTGGCCCCAGTTCTTTTCATTGTTGTATTACCTCTTTCTAACACATTACAGTGCCTGTTACACAGGTTGACCTTGCTCTCAAAGCTTTCTGCTTTTCTCCATACCCCCAGTAATATTTCATGTACTCAGTTTATCTAGTCTCCTGTCCCTGTTCCTACGCAGTCTGGAAAATGATGACAAGGTGATAAAGGAAGCAGGTCTCTTGGTAGTACCAACATGCTTAGAAGTCCTGACACTGCTAGCCCACTGCCTCCAGAGCAAAGCTTGAGGATTTTACTATGACATATAAACTCTAACCTAACTCTTGTGCTCTTGTATTCTATACCCTTTTTTCCCACTAAGCTGTGGTCACATTTCACTACACAAAGCTCCCTGGCAACACCGGCCAAGGTGTTATATCTGACTAAGTGTCCTCCCCCGGAGTCCCTATTCCTTTCTCCTAATCAGTTTCTATGTTCTCTTAAGATTCATGGTAGGAACCTTTACCCCGGAGTCATAAACAGTGTTGTAAACCAACATTACCCCCATAAAAAATAATACAATTTAAAAATGAAATGATTTGTGGTAGGCACCATACTTTACCCAAGAAGCCCCTGAGATCATACCCATTCTGGGTAAAATAGTGTCAGGGTACTTGTATCAATTCTTTGACACTTCTAATAAGAAAATTTTGTACACTAGAGATGTAACTGTGCACTTTCTCTTTGATCCACATATCTACAAAATCCTAAAAGGATAATGTGGTAAAGTTGCACTCTCTCTACTTATATCTATTTAGATATATCTTACTACATGCTTACTAGAAGCATTCAATAAATGACCACTTACTGCAACAGGAAACTAATTCTACAAAAAACAATGTAACTAAGTTTCTAAGATATTTTGCTCCTAGTTGACTGAATCTGTAACAGTTGCCACTCTTAACAATTTTAACAATGAACTATTATAACATTAAAAATAAAAATTGTACTGTAATTTTGGTCAAATATTAACATCATGCACCACACACACACAATTGGCCTTTAGAACTTAACCCAAAGGTGAGAAAGTTCAAAGCAATTGAAACTAGAGAGGCTCTGAACAAGCTGCCCAAATCCTATAATCACTAAGAAATTTTGAATTTATATCAAATCTTCACTTCACATATTCTGATAACATTGGGGTATTCTTCATAGTCTGTTCTTCAAAAGGGAAAAAAAAACTAGTCCTTTGTTGGCTTTTTTATTTTATAACAATTTACTTTGAACTAGAGTTACAAAATAGTTATAATGTATGAAATTCAACTGAGAACAATCTAGTGTCAGTGATTTTAAATTCAAATAAATACCACAAAGAAACTTCAGATTTCCCTAGAGAAGCATAAAATTGGATACACTGGAACTAGTCAAGTTATTTTAATCATTTATCAGCTTAAGAGACTCCATACCACTAGAACCATGAACATGATGTGAAATTTTCCAATGAAGGCACCCTCTTTTTAAAACATATGTGTGATTTATTTATACCTGTGAAATACAAGTGCACTAAATTGCATTAACAAATGAAGTGCATTTCATTATAATTAACTTCATTACAAATGATTGATAAATGAAAATGGCAACCATCTCCCTCCCCTATTCTTAAATAAAAAAACACAAACACACTATCATAGAAAGGAACTTCAGAGAATAATGTCTATAGTGTGATTTTGCACATTATTTACAGTAGGTTTATCATTCAAACACACTAATTCTGAATATCAATCATGTCACGTGTCCTACATACGAAATAAAGGAGATAAGTAAAATGGTATTCTTACTGGAATAGATTAATGCACACATATTATACATTTAACTTATAAAAAATCACTTTCTACAAAGCTTGAGTTATTTATGGCATTTTGTTTCATGTTTACTATCAGCTCTCATACTAGAATACATGGTTCACGGTTGTTTATTACTACAACTGTATTCCCACGACTGAGGTCAATGACTGGTACACAAATGGCGATCAGTGAGTAATAACGGCCCTATGTTTACTGCAACACACTCACTGATTTATACCTCCTTTTCAAACAGAAAACATGCAAAGATACTTTTGGTAGTACAGTGAAAAAGTAAATACAGCTTTCCCAAATAATAGATCAGTCATTTTATTTTTTCCATATCTGTAAGTGAATTCAAAGCCATTTACCTACAGATGATGAGGTGGAAACCTTTTTAGACTAAATATGTAAAGAAATTTCCACCCGTTAAAGTGTTAGGGAAATATGTACTAGAAAGAAGAAATTTGAGGAAACCATATTAATTTGTGTTTTCTTTGTTTTTAAAGATTTAGTTATTTATGCATATAGAACTGGGGTACAGGCCAGAGGCGCAGGGGTGGTGAGACCAGCGTGGGGAGCAGGACAGGCAGATCGATGAAGTACACTGCTGAGGGGAGCAGCAGGCAGGTCGGGAGAGTTTTGCCATACCATGTGGGTCACCTGCTGGCAGGGGATTGAACTCGCACCAAAGCAGCAAGCTTTCAGTGCTGCATCCTAACCATTGTGCCATCAGGGAGGGCCCAGGGAAGCCATGTTAATTTGAAAATAAATATGAGGAACAAAGTTGTTTCAGCTGTATCTAAAATGCTATCATAGCATATTAAATTCAAATTAAGCTGAAACATGGATCAATCAAATAAGGTTTGTTTTTTCCTATGCAAAAAGTTATCTGTTGTAATTAAGTCCAAACTATTAAAGCTAATATTTCCTTAATATAAACATATGTGCACTTTGAACAAAGTACACATACACGACCCTGCCCTCCCCTCCCCTCAGCAGTGTAGTTGATTGATCTGCATGTTCTACTCCCTACTCTGTCTCTGGTGAGGTCTGTCACTGTCCCTGCACCTCTGGCTTATACCACAGTTCTGTATGCATAAATAAAAAAATCTTTAGAACAATACACATACACATACTCTGAACACTTGCAAAGGAAGAGTAAATTCTCCTGTGGATTGCCCAAGAATTTACCTCTCTAATAAGATGTAGCACATTACATTCTTCTAGACTTCATTTTAAGCTTATAACCTCTGGAAAATGTAATCTTTAGTCTAATATTAATTTACACGTTACAATATAGATTCCTTCAGTATTTAAAATTAGTATGCCAGTAAAGGAAGGAGTGACATTTAGCTGAACAGAGAACATGCTTTTATTTTTCACTGATGTACTTACAAATACAAAGGTCTCTAATGCAGGCCCATGGATGTACCACTTAAAAACTGTAGGCATGATACTATGAGTTCGGGGGGTTGAGTAAAAGCCCTGTAATACTTACCATACTGTGTAACAAATGCTATACAGCTGTTCACGATAATGGGAACGTCATTTTTGCTGAGCTGCTGATCTTGTAATGCATTACCATCTGTACCTGCTGCTTTTTCAATTGCAGTATGCCAGACTGTGAAATCCAACTTGGTATGCCCATGGATGTATAATGTTCTGTAAAGTTTTAAAAAGCATTTCAAATTATAATTTTGGTTTTTTATATTAAAAATGACTTCTAGATAGATTGTCCTTAAGTCCATATAAATGTGATCTTATCTCACCCATTGAGGAAAAGACCCTTGCTTTACCCTCCCACTAACTTCATTCACCATAACAGCCAAGTCTCTCCACAGAAAAGAGGAAGTTTTCTGTCCTCTTTCACTCACCCTCCTTTTATTTACTTATTTATTTTTTCTGAATGGAAACTGTTCCAGCAAGTATCAACAGTGACTCCTAATGGATATTTGTAAATGTATTTTTCAAGACTAGAACTGTTGAAGATTTCATTTCTTAAAAAGGAGGAAAATACAGCATCCAATTTGGCTTTTGTAACATAATTCTTTATAGCTTTTCTACTGTCTTTCCAGTTACTCAGTCTGTTTCCCAAGCTTACTATTGCTTTCTGAAAATGCACTTTGTCCTCCATGTATTCACAGAAACACCAAAGGCTATCAAAGGATGTCACTCAGACTAAGGCTGCAGCCCTGGCATGTAAGTTGGTAACACCCAGTCCCCAATCTCCAGTTTGTAACTTTCATCAGTCAACAATTCATGAGATCAAAAAGCAAACACAAAAAGCAGGAAAGAGGGTTGGAAATGCAATCACTTCCAGAACTCAGATTCTAGCTCTGTATTCCCTCCTTTTGTGACCTAGTACAAATTATCAACCTTGTTTGAGTCTCAGTCTCATTACTGTCATAGAAGGATAGTAATTAGTATAAACCTTCTTACTCAAGAGATGTAATGTCAGTCACTAATAAGATGTTACACCAACTGATATTTACTTTTTTGATGCCTTTATCTTAATGTGCCACATGTACCTCAAATGCTTCTCCATCTTCATAATACACGACTCCTGAGACTATGACTAGCCTTCCAGCAACTTTGGATTAACTATCAATTGGTACTTCCCTCCAGTCACCACCACACAGATTCCATGTCAAAGTTTTTTGACTCTAGTTCCCTTACATATCACCTATACTGTCATTCAACCTTGCCATATCCAGGTCTTTATAATGATTCCTAAAGCCACTGAAAACCCCTCGTAAAAGAATTTCCTCCCCAATTCTCTACCTTGCTAATCCCTAATTCCTCAGCAGTGTCAGAATGAACTTTCTGAAACACAAAGCAAAAGACATTACACTTTATAATCATTGTCTTTTTGTAGGTCTAGAATTTTCAATTTCAAAATGCCTCCGTGTTCTGGCCCATATTTTTTTCCTCTATCATTGTCATTGTCTCACATGAAAAACAGAGAGAAAGAGACAGACAAATATACACAAACCCAACTTATTCTCCATGTCCTGTAACAAGCACCCCCTATTCTTTATCTACTCCAACTCCTCTCCCAAAGGTACACGTACTCCAGGGGACACTCCCTGACACTCCACCCTGAATTCCTTCCTATGCTTAGCAATGTACCTGCTTTGCCCTATCAACTGTTTGTTACGAACATTTCAGCTGCCAGACCCCAACTTTGTACAGCCAAACAATGACAGCTTTCCAGCATTTCAGTTGATTGGTATAGTGCCCAGTATTTGTGGATGCATAATAGAGCTGAAGTCCTGCCATTAGATGTAAATATGATTCAAAACATAAGTTAATCAATGATATATTTCAAGTTTATTTATACCACAGTATAATTTATCTTGATCTCAGACATTGAGAAAACCACTTTGGATTCAACCCAAAGATGTGACCTAAAGGAATTCTGATTGGGGAGAGAGGAGGAATGTTAGTCATTTGCACTGCTGATTACTCACTGGTCTGAAGGTTAAAAGAAAATCAAAGTCCACCTATCTTTCCTTTGATATCTCTCTTGAAATATTCCTGGGAGAGGACCTCCCTGCACTCACTTCTAACATCTCCTGAACTTCCTTTGCTACTTTTTCATTGACATTTGTGCCTGTAATCTTCATCTCATGCTTTCTGACAGCTTTACCTATATGTTTTATCTTCTACACCATCACTGCAGCCTTGACCTCCAGGTTTTACAATTTTCTTTTTGAAGAATTCTGACACTTGCTCTAATACTCCTGACATACTGCAGCCTTTCGTCTATATACATCATCTTTAGCTCAAAAACATTTGAGTATATTTTTCTAGATGAAACTCTGTATTCAGGCAATTTTCCTGAGAAATGCCAAACCCTTAAATGATATAGACTTAATCAAAATTAAATCTTGCTACATTCAGGAGTTTAGGTAAACATTTTACATTTTGGATTCTTACATACTTCTCAAACTGGTAGTTAGGCTCTAAATATAATATCTTTGTAACTGCTTATTAACAAAAAAGCTACAGGGTATTCCAGCAAGTAGAGAAAAATCCAAAATCCAAGGCCCGCCTACAATATTGGTATAATCCTGCCGTTAACTATGAGCATTTCCAACTTCATATTTACTTTTTAGTCAAAAGAAATCCCTTGATGACAAGTTATAGCTGTCTCCTTGTGAACTAGTGAGGAATAGAACAAATACTGACAAGTTAACTCTTGAGTCAACATGTCAAAGACTGATTCCTAAGATATATCATCTGGCATAGAAAATGTTTGACATTTAACAGCATCAGTTCAACAACTTTCCTCTTTGATGCTTATCCAAACTCTGTGCACACTGAATAAAGCATCAAAAGAAATTTTCAGAACATAGGCTGGCCAACCTTGTGATTTCAAGTACTAACAACTAATAACAAATAGTGACTTTATACTTCTAATAAAAATTCTTAAAAAAATTCATTTACATCTTTAAAAATCTGAAAAATTGTTTTGATAAACACTTAAATATAGAGAAATTAACTACTGTCCATCCACCCAAGCATAAATTTTAAAGTGTACTTCAAAAGTCATGTAAAGAAACATTCCAATGTTCTACAATCTGAAAAGTTGAGTCAGACCTAAGAACCAAATCCCAGGACCAACAAAACCAATTTTCTCAAAACTGCAATATAATAATCACAAAGTATAGATCATCATATCTGAGCCTAGTTTACTGACTAAAACCAGAAGTGCCTTGACAACTGATGGATTCAATAGTTTAATTAGATAAAAAATGTTATTTTTTTATATTTAAAATATATTTTATCTTATATTTAAACTATAAGAAAGACATAAAAGCAAACAGCTCACTTTCACACGTTATTCTTACAAGTCAGCATCTGTTTGGTTCAAAATATTTAATTTTGCTTTTATTTCTGAAAGATAATTTTTGCTGAAGAGAATATTTCACATTAGTAGCAGTTGGTTGGTTTTGATCTTTTAGTTTTCAGGTCCTATCTGCTCTACATGAGCCCATCCAGAGACATTATCGTTCAGATAACATATTCTTTAGTTTTAGAAGTTCTATTTTTTATGACCATTTATTCCATTATGTTTGTGTTTTCCATCACCTCTTTGAAAATTTTATATTATTTACAATTCACTGTGTAGAATCTTTGCTCATTCCAATATCTTCCTTATTTCTGAGTCTGTTGCTATCAACTGATTTGGGGCTTTTTTACATGACTAGTACTTTCATATGGTGAATGTCGTAATTGTGTTACCATTTCTTAGAGTTTACTGATGTTTATTTTGGCAACATTTGCCTGTTTGATGCCAGTCAAGTAAATTACTTGTGGAGCAGCTGATCTTTTAGAGGTCTGGTTTTAAATTTAATAAGGAAAAATAGAGCAGCCTTTATTCTAGGGCTGTTTTAGCTTTGACTCTCTAGTTTTCTCTTTCTGGGTCTTTATTAATGCCTGTGTGTTTAATGAGTTCTGCCCTAGAATATAAACACACCAAACCCATGTAAGCTCCAGGTTTCCTCACTTGTAACTACATGAGAGTGATTTCTGCCTGGGCTTCTGGCATTCTGCCTTCTAAACATATAGTTTAGAATTGAACCAAAGAAGGAAGGGAGCACCTGTGAAGGTTTCTGAAATGTCCTCTACGCTTCTTCCTCTGCTCTGGAACTCTGCCTTGAAAATTTTAGTTTTCACATGTCCCCAAACTACTATCTGTACCTCTTCAACTCAGCAAAACCACTACATTCAGCTTGGGGCCCCCCATTTCCTTCCCATGGACTGAAACGTATTCTACACAGAGGGAATCTAGGAGCTAGTAAGCCCTTCTTCATTTGTTGTCTTTCCATGATCCCAAACCTAGAATACCTAAAAATAGCTTGTTTCAGTACTCTCTCCAGTTTTCTAACTGTTTATACATGGGCAGGGAGTACACTCCATGTTGGTTACAGTAACCTCATTTTCTACAGAAGGTCATTTCAAATCTTCCAGTAGAGGCCTGGAATCTCAGCTTCTACCAAATCTTTTCCCCACAATTTCAGATAAAAAACTGTGGCACAGAATTTTAGAGTCAGAAACAAGCACATAATTATTAAAGAAACCTGCAAGATGTAGAAATCATGTCACAGGAGGATGTAGAAGATACTATTTTAAATAGTTTGAGTCTTCTGCACCAGTAGTATAGTAAAAGCTGTGAAGGCATTTGATCCCCAAGAAAAGCAAAGGCTTCAGTTTCCTAATCTCATCTCTATATGCTATTCAGCAACCCCCTCATGGAAGATGAGAAACAGTCCTGTTTGGGCTGGACGCAAACCCTTGAATGGTGTACCACTGGCTACAGAATGAAACTAACCCCCACTGTTATGAATATATTTTGAGGTTTTTAAATACATACACTTTATATAGAAATAACACGTGTGTATGTAAATGCACATACATACATATATTCTTTCCAGTGAAAGTCTAGATTTAATTAGATTTGACTGATAATAAAAAGTATGCTATCAATATGTATTTCCAGACCCACCAGCTCACGCTTCCTCACCAGACACTGGAGTGGCTCTCTTACCCCTCCTATTTCTCTGAACCTGCTGTTTTCTCAAGCTGTTTTTTTTTTTTTTTTCCCTACTGAATTTTACCCTGGACTTCAGATCCAGTTATGTTTGTACATATGTTTA